ATGAAGTCTTCAACCACTGGACCACCAGGGAATTCGCTGAGTTTTGATAAGTTTAGTTTTTAAGAGAATATTCTGTATTTGGTTTAAGCTTTGAATTTGTTGGCAAAGTCGGTTATAGTATCTTCTTTTGATTTTAAAATCTCTGTTTTGTCTATAGCCTGTCTCACTGTTCATCCCTAATACCGTTCAGTAAGGCCTTCTTTCCTCATCTCTTCTTCAATCGCACCAGACTATGACTTCTGTAGCTCATATTAGTTGTCAATTGTTGTGTAACAAGGTTACATCCAAACTCAGTGACAGAAAATCGCTAACTAGGGTTATGAGACAATGGCACCCCACTCCAGTATGATTGGCTGGAAAATCCCATGGACGGAGGAGCCCAGTGGGCTGCAGTCCGTGGGGTCGCTAAGAGTCGGACTTTGACTGAGCAGCTTCACTTTCACTTTCCTGCATTGGAGAAGGAAATGGCAACCGACTCCAGTGTTCTTGCCTGGAGAATCCCAGGGACAGAGGAGCCTAGTGGTCTATGGGGTCACACAGAATCAGACACAACTGAAGTGACTTAGCAGCAGCAGCAGGGTTATGAGATAGCTGGATTTGGTTTTCCTTATCCAATCTGACAAGTGATTTTTTTTAAAAAAAATGGCCAATTTTCTCTGTTTAATTTTAATGTGATTATTGCTTGTTATTGCTCTTGTTCAGTCCCTAAGTGGTGTCCAACTTTTTGCGACCCAGTGGACTGCAGCATACCATGCTTCCCTGTCCTTCACCATCTCCCAGAGTTTGCCTAAACTCATGCCTATTTAGTTAACGATGCCATCCAATCATCTCATCCTCTGTTGTCCCCTTCTCCTGTCCTCAATCTTTCCCAGCATCAGGGTCTTTTCCAATGAGTCAGTTCTTTGCACCAGATGGCCAAAGTATTGGAGCTTCAGTTATAGCATCAGTCCTTCCAATGAATATTTGGTGTTAGTTTCCTTTAGCATTGACTGGTTTGATTTCCTTGCTGTCCAAGGAACTCTCAAGAGTCTCCTCCAGCACCACAGTTTGAAAGCATCAATTCTTCAGCACTCAGCTCTCTTTACGGTCCAACTGCAACAGTCCAACTCACTCAGTGGGACATGACTGAGCGACTGAGCGTGCAGCTCCGGCAAGGCCTGAGCCCCTTGTCTCAGCAGCCCAGGCCCACGGGCCTGCTCTGAGCTGCTCCCAAGGGCATCCCCCGTGAGGGCCCTTGTCTCAGGCGGGCCGGCGTGGGTGTCCAGGCTGACGGCAGCCTTCCGGAACTGTCCGTCCGCGTGCACTCTGCTTGTGTTTGCCCTCCTCAGGAGTCAGCTCCATGTTCCGTCTCTGCAGGTTCGGCGGCAGCAGGTCTGGGGCTCCTCGTCACGGGTAGCATCAGAGCTGCAAGTCTCCTTTGCTTTACTGCTAAGATCACCCTCTGGTCTTCTCTTCAGCACATTCGCCGTTCCTCTCTGTATCGGCTTTCTAGGGCTGTCATATCAAAGCACCGCAGACTGGCTGGCTTACAGAACAGACATTTGGTGGCTCAGTTCTTGAGGCCCAGGTGGCAGCAGGTGGTGCCTTCTGAGCCGTGAGGAGCAGAGTCCGTCCTGGCTTCTCCCCTCGCTCTGGGGGGTGCTGGAAACCTTTAGCTTCACTGATCTCCGCCCATATCCTGACTGTGTCTTCTCCTGGGACGTCTGTCTGGTATCTCCATCCTCTCTTCTTATGAGGACGCTGGTCAGGGCCCACCTTGCTGACCTCACCTCTCTCCAAGTAAGAAACCGCTGGTGGCATAAGGGGTTGGGGCCACAGATGTGACCAGCGGGCCAGGGCAGTTCTGTCTGTAAGTGTCCCTGTCGCCTGGACTCAGCGGGTGACTCATGAGTTCCAGGCTTTTGCTGAACTCAGCCACGGGACGTTTCTCAAGAGGAGCTGCACAGCAGGAACCCTTCTCCCTCACCATCCAAGGTGGCATCCCCACTCAAGGAGAGCCTCCTCAGGGCCGGGAGCTGGGCAGGGGGCTTGCTGCGGGTGGGCCCGCCACACACCTCGCACACCAGGGCGTTAGGAGCAGCTTTGGGGCAACACGCCATGTTTCGTGGAGTACTAGCCAGCCTGCCAGACTGCCCATTTTTACCCCCTTATGATCGAGGAGACGGGACCTGGTCCGGCAGGGGAGAGCATCACCCCATGGCTGCAGCCTTCCCCCTCCTCGGCCCCATCCACCCCCTTGGAGCCCCCCACAGCCAGCAGTCATCCTGATGGGAGGTGTCACAAGCTTCCTCCTCTCACGGCTGAAACCCCGAGGCTCGTGGAGTTACACAAGTTCTGGGGAGTTTTTCAGGCTGGATCACAAGTACTGCAGCATCTGTCTGTTTCTGCTTCAAGTGCACCTACAGACTGGCTTTGTTGACCTGGCTGGTGTCTGGCTTGCAGCCTAGTGCTCCCTTCCAGCAGCTCATTGAAGTTTCCAGGCCCTGTATCTGTGGACCACAAGGTGATGCTGAGGCAGTATGGACCAAGACAGCTGAAGCCTGGGGTGCAGTGATGGGCCCTGGGGCGGCGCTGGCCTCGGGAGGTTGCTCAGGCATTGGGAGCGAGGATGCAACGTCCCTCCTGGTCGGTTCCAGGGTGGAGTGACCCAGAAGGGAGTGCGGCTCCCACACATGGCCGGCGCAAGTATTTAAGTTGAATTCAAGGCTGTGAGCATGGGATGTCCACGACGACCATGAGGTCCACCTTGGCCTCGTGATCACAGCTGTGGGCACAGAGTGGGGAGCCCAGGGCTTTGGGGCCAGAGCCGCAGTGCAAGAGGTGCTCGGGACAGAGGGATGGGGTCAGGAATGCACCCTGGGCGCGGGCGGAGCTCAGGGACATGCGGCCCGTCTCAGCTGGACCTGGTCCCTGGTGCTGGAGCTGCAGCACGGAAGCACGGTGAAAGGGCCCCTCCTGCAGGAGCCCAAAGTCCACTCAGGCTGTGGGAGCCTCCGCTCTCTGCTGCCCTCTCCCACTGCACGTCCAGGGGCTGCGGTTTCTCCCCTGCTGACCTGCCGGCCCTCCAGCTCTCGGTGGAGGCAGATGGCCTCCCGACCCCAGGGTCCCAGCCCCAAGTCCTCCAGGCCTTGCCGCCTGCAGCCGTGGCCGGCCTCTCTCTCCCGCTGCTCTGGCCTTCTCCTGGAGGGCTGGGCGCGGCCCCTGCCCTGTGCACCGCCCCTCCCATCCAGGAGCAGGAGCTGGACCCAGGTCTCGGCCTTGCGAGCCACGGTCTCCTGCCTTTCCCAGCCATGCCCTGCCTCCTTTTCTGCACTGCCTTCCCGAGATCCCTGCGGGGCTGCCCCTTCCCTGCCGCAGACGCCACACCTGCCCCCTCCTCCCACCTGCCACAACCCTCTGCACGGCTGTTTCTGCTGCCTGCCCTTGACCTGCACCCTCCTGAGCCCACTGTCGGCCCATCAGCCTCCAGGTCTGCTGCAAGCAGACCCTCAGGCACACTGACCTCGGTGGTGGTAAAAGTGGGGAGCGGCCTGTGTGCCCTGATGCTGACAAGAGCAGCCAGAGCCACTCCTGTTCAGCCAGAAGCTGAGTCCAAGGCAGCCTTTCAGGGGCTGAGGGGGACACAGCCTCCCTGGGGGGTGCCCACAACGCGCCTGCAGGGACCAGAGCCTAGGGAGAGTGGATGGCCCACAGCAGTGACGGACACGGGGTGCATCGCTGGTGTCCACGCTGCCCACTGTTTTAGAAATTATGCAAGATCTGAACAATGTTCAGAGTGACTCAGAGACAGGAACTTTTCTTGTTCACAGAGAGAAAAGTAAAATATTAACCTCTGGCATTAGAAAAATTCTAGCATTAAGAAGCCCGGACTGCAGGGGCAACCCCTTTGGTGACCTGGTGGAGGGGGGGGTGTCTGGTCTCTTCCTGAAAGAACCAACATATTCCAGTCTTCCTGGGCCCACCTCTGTGGGGGGCACAGTTAGAGAGGCAGAGCTGAAGCCCCAGGACGTATTCCGGGTACACACGCGGGTCCAGCTGAAGGGTTGGGGCTCCTCCCGGGCCCTCCTTCCGGGGGCAAGTCCTCCTGGGAGGCGGCTTCACAAGGAGGCGGCAGCAGAGCTGGCTGGGTGGGGTGGGTGCTCTGTCTCAGGTCCAGGCCCGCCCTGCACTGTGGGGAGACAGGTGAGCTTCTCCAGGCCTCTGCCCGCCAGCCAAGCCTCGGTCTGCAAGGCAGTTCTCTGCAGGTGATTCTGGGTCCTTAGGACCATGCTCGAAGCTGGGGACGGGTGAGGGGGTTGGCGCTCTGCAGCACGGAAGCACGGTGAAAGGGCCCCTCCTGCAGGAGCCCAAAGTCCACTCGGGCTGTGGGAGCCTCCGCTCTCTGCTGCCCTCTCCCACTGCACGTCCAGGGGCTGCTGACCTGCCGGCCCTCCAGCTCTCGGTGGAGGCAGATGGCCTCCCGACCCCAGGGTCCCAGCCCCAAGTCCTCTAGGCCTTGCCGCCTGCAGCCGTGGCCGGCCTCTCTCTCCCGCTGCTCTGGCCTTCTCCTGGAGGGCTGGGCGCGGCCCCTGCCCTGTGCACCGCCCCTCCCATCCAGGAGCAGGAGCTGGACCCAGGTCTCGGCCTTGCGAGCCACGGTCTCCTGCCTTTCCCAGCCATGCCCTGCCTCCTTTTCTGCACTGCCTTCCCGAGATCCCTGCGGGGCTGCCCCTTCCCTGCCGCAGACGCCACACCTGCCCCCTCCTCCCACCTGCCACAACCCTCTGCACGGCTGTTTCTGCTGCCTGCCCTTGACCTGCACCCTCCTGAGCCCACTGTCGGCCCATCAGCCTCCAGGTCTGCTGCAAGCAGACCCTCAGGCACACTGACCTCGGTGGTGGTAAAAGTGGGGAGCGGCCTGTGTGCCCTGATGCTGACAAGAGCAGCCAGAGCCACTCCTGTTCAGCCAGAAGCTGAGTCCAAGGCAGCCTTTCAGGGGCTGAGGGGGACACAGCCTCCCTGGGGGGTGCCCACAACGCGCCTGCAGGGACCAGAGCCTAGGGAGAGTGGATGGCCCACAGCAGTGACGGACACGGGGTGCATCGCTGGTGTCCACGCTGCCCACTGTTTTAGAAATTATGCAAGATCTGAACAATGTTCAGAGTGACTCAGAGACAGGAACTTTTCTTGTTCACAGAGAGAAAAGTAAAATATTAACCTCTGGCATTAGAAAAATTCTAGCATTAAGAAGCCCGGACTGCAGGGGCAACCCCTTTGGTGACCTGGTGGAGGGGGGGGTGTCTGGTCTCTTCCTGAAAGAACCAACATATTCCAGTCTTCCTGGGCCCACCTCTGTGGGGGGCACAGTTAGAGAGGCAGAGCTGAAGCCCCAGGACGTATTCCGGGTACACACGCGGGTCCAGCTGAAGGGTTGGGGCTCCTCCCGGGCCCTCCTTCCGGGGGCGAGTCCTCCTGGGAGGCGGCTTCACAAGGAGGCGGCAGCAGAGCTGGCTGGGTGGGGTGGGTGCTCTGTCTCAGGTCCAGGCCCGCCCTGCACTGTGGGGAGACAGGTGAGCTTCTCCAGGCCTCTGCCCGCCAGCCAAGCCTCGGTCTGCAAGGCAGTTCTCTGCAGGTGATTCTGGGTCCTTAGGACCATGCTCGAAGCTGGGGACGGGTGAGGGGGTTGGCGCATCAGAGGTGGCAGCCTGTGGCTTGGTGTCCTGGACTGGTCCTGAGGATGGAGGGAATGCGTGTGGGACAGGCACGTGCGGAGGGCTGGTCAGTTCCTCCCACGCCTCCACCCAGAGGTCTCCTACCTCGAATGCAGAAGGGTGGGGGTGCAGACCCCCTGTCCTCAGGGCACTCTCAGGGCAGTGGAAAGAAGGCCCAGACAAAGCCGAGTCCGATAGCAGGCACGGGGCGTGGAGAAACTGACCACGGGAAGCGGGGGATGGGAAGGCAGCAGAAACAGCAGAGGCTGTGGCAGGCGGGCGGACACAAGGATGGAGCACAGGGCGGGCAGGGAGAAGTGCCTGGCCAGGGGACGGAAGGAAGGCTGGGGGAGAAGCAGGCGGTCGCCCCAGGGCTCTCTGACCAGCCCAGTGATGAGAATCCAGCAGGGTTCTGAGCAGGACATAGTGGAATCTGATTTCTGTTCTCATGCTCACTGTGCAGCTTGCTAGGCTGGAGAGGGGCAGGTGACCCCAAGCTGGGGGCCGGTGACGGAAGGAGAACCTTGGTCTCAGACAGGAAGGGCTGGCGGAGTCACCTCAGGGGCCCGATCCCTTGTTAACTGAGAGGAGAGGGGTGTGTGGGCCAGACACGTGCTCAGGTCTGGGGTTCCGGGCTTTCCCTTGTGAGTGGTTTTGTGTCTGTGTTCAGGAAAGTTCTCTCAGAGACCTGCTGAATTTCACTTAATCCTGTTTTCTCATTTTCCCTAAATGTTCTAATTAATCCAATGTCGGAGGTAATCTCACAGGTGAGTACCAAGTGTGAGTTTAAAAGCATCTGTTTTGTGGATAGACACCCAGTTAATTCTCCTATTATCGTTTATCAAACCCACCCACACTTTCTCCCTGGCTTGTGGATTTCGAGGATGCAGAGGCCAGTGGATCTCAGGCTGGCACCTCGCGGTTCACCAGCCCACTGCTGCCCTGTTCAGTGTGCCCGTTACCTCTGAAGACAGTGGCACTGCCCGTCCTCAAGGCCACTTGACAGCATTCTCACTGCCAGGAGACCCCTGCCCTAGGCATCACGGTCTCCCAGGGTCAGCCTCGGTCCTTGCCCATGTCCAGAGCACCTTGACCTTGGGGCCTGGCGACCTCCAACCCTGGAGAGCCCTGCTGACCCTCGAGTGCCAGGCCCCCTCGGGAGCTCTGGAACTAAGCACAGGTCGCTCGCTGGGGCTGGGGGTGGGGGGTGGGGGAGGTCGGATTTACATCCACTTCGGCCACACACCTGGCCGCTTCCCAGGGATCACCTCCACCGCCCCGGTCTCGGGGAAGCCGCCCCGCCCAGGCCTCTGCCCTCCTTGGCCCCCGGATCTCAAGCACAAGGGCCGGTTATCTCAGAGGAACCCTCCGGGGGCGGCGCCGCTGCCTCCCCCGACCTCGTGGCCGCATGGAGCCCAAAGGACCCTTAAACCCCCGGTTAGCAGGCGCCGCTCGCTCGGCGGCCGGCGTGTGGGTGCGGGATGGGAACACGAGGGAGGGTGCACGAGGGGCNGGGGGCGCCGTGCGCATGCGCGGGCTGCTGCGTACGAGTTGGCCGCCGCTCCGACCGGCGGTGCCGCCGTGCGCGTGCGCGTGCTGCTGCGTGCGCGTGCGTGCCGGCGTCCGGGGGGGCGGGGCTGGAGTCAGGGGCGCCGTGCGCGTGCGCGTGCTGCTGTGCGCGAGTGCGCGTGCGCCACCGCCCCGCCCGCCCGCGCAGGTGACACAAAGGGGTGCGGGGCCCTCAGGACCGTCGCGGCTGAGACTCCGCGCCCAAGGCGCGGGCCCTGTTGGCCTGTCCGCCCTGTGGTCCCGGCTGGCGGGATTCCTGCCAGCGGGGCTCCGCAGGGAGGCCGGGCGCGCCGGTGGCCCCTCGTCCTCTAGGGCCGGGCCGTCCGGGGCTCTGCGCCCGTGGGCGATGCGGACCCTCTGTTGAAACGTCTGACTTGACGAGGCGGCGGGGGGCGCCGTGCCGGTCACCGGTGGAGGTGACACCCGCCCCGGGCCCGTGTCCGCCCGTGACCGGATGGTTGTGGTCGCGTCCGTCTCACCTTGTCCCCCCCCTTGCTTTGTCAAGTGTGGGGGGCAGGCACCCTCCGTGCCCGGGCGGCGCCCCGAGCTTGCGACCGGGGGGCGGCCCGCGGTGGTGCTTTGCTGGCCGCCGCGCTCCGCCCACGTCGGGCCGGGCCGTGTCCACCTGTCGCGCCCCCCCTATCAGGCCTAGCTCTCCCGGCCGGGGCCCCCTCACGGTGGGGGCGCGTCCGGTCGGCAGCGGAGGGGCCGCCCCCGCCGCTTCCCGTGCCCCCGCCCTGCCCCCGGGAGCCCAAAGACGGGGCCCCGGGCTGCGAGGTCTGTGGACGCAGGAGCAGCCGCGAGTCCGGGCAGGGCTCCCTCTGGCCTGTTCCTGCCCGCCGCAGAGGGGCCCGTCGGCCCTGGGCTTGCCGGGAAGGCGGCCTGTGGCGGGCAGCCTCTGAGCTGGGAGCTTGGCGGGCAGCCTCCTTTCCGGTGATGATCTTCTCTGTGGTTGGTTAGGACAGGCTCGCTGTTGGGACGTGCGATGGGATTGGTTTTCTTCCGAGTCCGCCCTGAGGAGTGATACCACCCTTCCTGCTTCTCTGGATGACTGGACAGTTGGGTCTGCACATGAGGGATCCAGAGTGGGGTCTGCAGGTCCTATCTCATGGGGGCACCTTCTCCCTCTCCAGGACCCCCTCCCCCCACCCCGTCTCACATGTATGTATGCAGAGACAGATATTCAGGAGAAAGTTCGTCTCCAGCAGTGTGGACGCTTGGCGTGCCCTGTGGGTCAGCATCCCCGAGCCTCTGGGCGAGTGGTTGCAGCAGGCAAGAGCACAGGCCTGGCCCTCAGGGAACCTGTGCTGAGCCCCTGACCGGTGCATAGTCGTGGACTTCTGGCGCTCCTGTGTCATGGCTGTACAGTGGGGATGGAGCGTGAGAAGTGGGGTCACGTGACTGAGCGGGTGCCACCTGTCAGATGGAGGGGCAGGGTGGGGGACAGGGGGAGGGTGCTAGGGCCTGGAGGGCAGGGGGCAAGGCTCAGGGTCTCTCTGGAGTGCAGCACTGCCTCTCTGGAAGGCAGGAAGGTGACCTTCGGAGTCACAGTTTGCATCACAATGAACTGCCCCCCCCCCCATGTTCTTTGATGTGTATGAAGTTATTCCTGGGACTCTTAGCAGCTTGAAGGTAGCAGGACACGTGCACACAGGTGGGCACGAGGGAAGATGGTGGAAGAGGTGAACTCACGTGGGGAAGAGTCTTCGTGACGCACTCATGCCTTTTATCATGGCTTTTATCTGGCACATGTACACCTTTTGGTTTCTGAGGAGTTGAGAGGACACCGTGGCGTGAGGCTGACTCTGGCGTGTGGTCCTGCTGCAGGCGCTGTGAAGCCCTGCGTGCCCGGGGGGGCCCCCTGACCTTGGCTGCAGGGGCTCAGCACCCAGCAGAGGCAGACCTGGCCCGTTGGTATGGCCAGACCCCTGCCCATACGGCTGTGCTGGCGGTGGGGGTGGGCTGGAGAAGGCCTGGCTGCTGCTGGCTCTCAGACAGCGACAGGGGTGGGCCGGGGGCCTCGGTATGTCAGAGGTGTAGCTGGTGGTCAGCCGAAGGGCACGTCCTGACCGACGGGCCGGCTTCGCAGAGGAGGATGGGGAGGTCCCAGGGGGCAGTGACGCGCGCATTTCCTGCTGCTGAGGTGTGGGCACGGGACTGCGGTGACCAGGGAGCCACAGTGTGCAGGCCAGAGGCCTGGTGGAGCGTGGGGGGGTGCGGGGCCAGGGAGATGGCTGGCAGACTGGATGTGGGACCAGGGACACTGTTCGTGGCTACAGAGTTTGGAGCTTGAGTTTGAGGAGGCAGTTCCTGGGGCTGGAGAGGAAGCAAGGGCTGTTTCGTGGTGAGCTGTGGGTGTATTTACTTTGCAGTGCTCGGTAGCACTGCACCAGGAGGTGTGAGCCAGCCCGTGACCCTGACTCAGTGCTGTGGGAGCGGTGAGGCCTAGGGCCGGGTTCTCAGGAACCCTAGGCGTCCTGCAGATGCAGGGATGTGCTATGATCAGTCTGGAGGCTCAGCGACTCCGGTGACCCCGGAGTCTGCCAGCCGCAGCCCTGGTCCCTCCTAGAGCAGCCGCACCCTGGGGACTGTGCCCGAGGATGCGGCTCAGGGCGTGGTGGCTGGGGTGGGGCGGGGCGGGGTAGAGTGGCCGTCCAGTGGGTCGCCGCGCGCCCAGCACGTGGAGGAGGCAGGAGTGAGCGCGAGATGGTGCAGGGTGTATGTCCCCCACGCAGCTCCCCGCTGTCGGCATCACACCTCAGTGTGGCTGTCAGAGTCGCAGCCTAAGTCCCCTGCCTTCCCCTCTAGTCCTTTCCATTCCTCCATCCCCTTTTGCTGCTATGTGGTGTCGCTCCAGGGCACCGTCTGCCTGTCCCAGGGTCTGGCAGGGGTGTCAAGGTGGCTGTCTGCTGGGCCTTCAACAGTGTCCTCCGTCCTGTTGAGCCCGAGCTAGGCAGTGGCTGGTGTGGACGTCCACCTCGGCCCCGCGGGTCCAGTCATCACCCTCTCCCAGCATTTGCGTGGGAGCCGGGGGAGCTCAGGGCCATGTCTAGCTCTCAGGGGAGCCTCCTTTCTCACCGGCTGCTGCGTCCCCTGCCCCTCACTGTTCCGCTGGATGCAAGCGTGCGCACCGGGCACTGCTCCCTGGGATCGGCCCCTGGCTCCCGTGACCACGCCGCCCACGTGCCTGTCCTCTGTCCTCTGCCGCGGGGCCAGTGCAGTCCCTGCGTCAGGCTGGTCATCAGAAGTCCCTCCCTCCCCACGTGCTTACCGAGTGCCCCCAGCAGCCCAGCCCTGCAGGGCCTGTGTCCTGCTCTCAGGGCCCCAAAGATCAGCTGGCACCTGCGTCCATCCCTGAGCGGGACCAGGGAGGCTGGGGGGCTGGTGAGACTGGGAGGAAAAGGAGAACGAAGTCTAGTGGGGAGGCTGCGGCCCAGCAGGTGCGGTCCCTCCCCCTCCAGCAGGTGTGCCTGTCTCCCTGCCCCCACCCCTCCCCCCGGGCACACCCACCCCGAGCGCCCACAGCACCTCCGAGGTCAGCAGGTGCAGGGAGGGAGGGGGAGGGGGCCAGGCTCCGTACCCAGGGCCCTGGGTCTGGGGCTGACCAGGACGGCGTGTGGGTACCTGGGAACCCGGGGCTGTCATGAGGTGACCCGCCTGCCCCTCGGCTGCCCCGCCGCTGAGGGGACAGAGCCTCTGCTTTGGCAGGTGCCCTGGCTGTCAGCCGCCTGCCCCCAGATGGCCTTTCCCCACGGTCACTGGAGTCACCCGGGGGCATGGGGCGTCCCCATCGCCTCTGTCCCCCGAGTTTCTTTGCAAGGAGCCAGCTGTGCATCCCACCTCCAGACAGGGCCCAGTTTCTGGAGAGGGTGAGGGGCAGGTGAGTCTGGAATCTGCAGGGTAGGGGACCTCTGGCCATGACCCCTTCCCCTGGTGTCACTCCTGCCCCTGCCCCCCCAGCGGGGAGGGGCGCAGACCTCCGTGGCTCTCCCGAGACGGGCGGGCCGAGAGCAGGAGCCCCTGAGACTTGTCCAGTCAGGGTGGGGTTGGGGGCCCAGCAGGACAGCCCTGCACCCACAGGGGGTGTGGGACGTGTCTTGGTGCCATGCGCGGGGCCATGCCTGCTGGCTTCGCTCCCTGCAGGCGTCCTCCATCCTCTTTAAAAGGGCGCCATTTCCTCAGAGGCTGGGAGGCGCCTGGCAGGGTGCACAGGGCGGGGTGACTGGGGGGGCCCTGAGGCTAACTGCTGGTCTGCCCCGGGCGTGACCGCGACCCCCAGCCTGTCCCTGCGGCCTTGTGTTGGGCGGTCCCGTCAGTATCCTGAGCACTGAGGTCACTTATGGGTGCTGTTTGCCTGTTTCTGGAAACCAGGTGGGGCTTAGCGTTTTCACCCCACGAGTGTGCCCAGTGCTAGCCTGGAAATTTCTCTCGACCACGGTCTTGCATTATTTCCAGCACAATTGGACAGTCGAATCCCCAAGTCTTGGCCGCTGGAAGCTGCCGTCCTGCCCACAGGGTCCTGGGCCCAGCACGGAGCAGTGCCCGCTGGAGGGCAGCTCCGGTCTGCGTTGGCCTGAGCTCTGCCCGGGGCTCTCCGCTTGTCCAGACTGGCGCCCGAGCCCATAGTGGGTGGGCACCCCTGCCCCACGGGGAGGGACGTGCCAGCCCCTTCAGGCTGCTCAGCGCAGCAGGGCTTCCTTGTGAGGCCGTTTTCACGGCGGGCGGGCCGGCGGTGGGCACAAGAGCCCAGGGTCCTGGCTGCCGCAGCGGGGCCAGGAGCGCACTGCGTGGGGCCGCGCGTGAGGGGCAGAGCCCAGCCCTCGGTGCGGGATGCAGGTGGCTGGGGCCACGAGTGACCGTGTAGGCCCATCGGGCACCCCCCGCTTCCTGGTTTCTCTGGGGTTTAGGGAGGAGGCTGGGGGAAGCCTCCTGGCAGATGGCTGGCTGTAACCCCCCTGGAGTCCCACCACCTGCACACGCAGGTCTCTGCGGGCAGAGGGCAGCACACAGGCTGGCCCGACTCGGCCGTGCGGAGGTGACCGCACGTCTGCCCCGTGCTGCCCCTGCAGTCTGGCTGGCTGAGGTCCTGAGTGCCCTCTTCCGGCCCTGCCTGTCGGAGCACGGGTGGGGCAGGGGGCCATCGCAGCCGGCAGAACACCCCCCGCCCCTGGTTGTGATACCATCATTGGGCGTGAAGCTGGGGCCCCAAGGCAGCTCTGCTGAGCCTGGGAGACCCCAAGGGGGGCCAGCGTCCCTGGCAGCCAGCTTGCCACCTGGCTGGGCACCCCCCTGCCCGTCCCTGTCCCCGAGCACCTCCTGAGAGGCTGGGCCCGGGGGCCTGGGGGCTGGTGGTGAGGTTGCTGTGGTTCTTTGGGGGTGGTGTCCTGTCCGGGGCCGTGTCTGTGGTGCTGGGGGGACACCTGCTGTCTGACAGCTGATTGAGGACAGTTTTCACGGAGTGAAGTTAAGGCAGAGGAGCATCGCTGTTTCCACGGAAACACCGATTTCCCGTGTTTTGTGGTTTCAGAGAGGAGCGCGGCTGCTCTATGTGAGGGGAAGCCAGCGTGTGTCTCAGGCTCAGGTAGCACGGCCCTAGGTCACCGAGTCCTTTCATGCTGGGGCTGCCGTCCACTATGCGGGGATGGGACCTGGGCCCAAGGCGTCGTGACCCCCACTTGTGGGCATGTGGCAGGTGGCACATAGGACCCAGGTGCAGGGGGGCTTCAATCCACGCAGCCACGTGGGGGTGACCCCCAGGCCACACGGGAGCTGGTGATGGGAGCGGCTTGGGTGCTGGATGCCCGTCAGTTGGTGGGCCCGGAGGGGAGCAGGCTGTCGATGGAGGGGCTGTTGACAGTGGGCGGCCCCTGTGCCATGGCCTGGGTTCGTGGCCTGGCTGGCTGGCCAGGACTTGTTGGGAGGGGCCAGATCAGGAAGGACTCGGGCACACCCAAGGTGTGGGTTGTGACTGGTCGCCTGCCCTTGGAAGGGCTGTGTGCAGATGGGAGGTGGGGGTGGGGGAGCCTCTGGACGTCACTGTCCGTGGGGCCTGGAGCCTGTGGGGCTGGTGAGCTGTACAGCCTGGGGCAGGGTGCGAAGGCCTGGGTTCGTGGCCTGGCCGGCTGGCCAGGACTCATTGAGAGGGGCCAGATCAGGAAGGGCCTTTCCTGGTGGCTGGTGTGAGGGGGACAGGCGCCTACGGTCCGCCCCGTGCTGGGAGTGGCCCTACCCTGAGACAGTGGGGCGGGGGCTCGGTGGTCTACGCTCACCCCCATCCCCTGATCCTCAGCCCACGTCCCCGATGGCGTGTGACCCATGTGCGGGCCCCATCACGGCCCGGCCATGCCCCCTGGAGCTGTTTGGGGAAGGCCGTGCCTGAATCCAGCCCCAGCCACAGGACGCTACCCAAGGGGGCCAATGTGCGCACTGGCCTGGGGAGCTCCCACCTCCAGCTGCGAGAGGGGTGTCCAGGTCGGGGTCTGCACCCTGGGGGCTCTCCCCAGCAATCCCCATGGAATCCCAGTCTGCTTGCCCCATCCCAGGCCCAGGAAGCGATGGGCCCCATGAGACAGAAGCTTCCAGAACTGGCCACAAACCTGCTCCCTGAGTTGTCCACCCTCCACCCCTCCCAGCTCATGCACAGGGTGATGTCCGGGGGGGTCCCGGGCATGTGGATGTGACCTTTCGGGGTGAGCCTCTAGCCTCTGAGTCCTGGCCATAGCTGGCTGGTTGCTCCCACGCCAGGTGCTGCCTGGTGCCGCGGTTCGAGGCTGCGGGGACCGGGCTCGGGGGTCCAGTTGGGCCTCAGGGGTGCTTAACGTGTCTCTTGTGTTTGATTTTTAGTCAGACTTTGACCCGGTGCGGGCTTCGGTGGTCGCCGTGGACGGGCGCCTAGGCGCTTTGGTTCGAGACAATTAAAGACGTGGGATGAGGACGCAGTGACAGGCCGCGGTTCTGCCAGGGGATTCTGAAGACAGCCGCTTTGAGCCGTTGAATTCATGGTCGTGGGAGCCGTGCCCATACTGAGAGATGGCAGGTTGGTTCGGGCTTGGGAATGTGAGGCTGCCCAAGGAGGAGGAGCCGCCCCTGGTCACCGAGTGCGTGGGGTCAGGCCAGGGACACCCCAGGGGCCCTCACCATGGCCCTGGGCTTTGCTTCTGGTGAGGGCCCCAGGGGAGGTGCCGGCCAGGCTGCAGGAGGGAGCAGGCTTCTTGGGGCCTCCCCGCAGGCTCGCTGTGGCTGGGGGTCACTGCCACCCCGGCCCCGCTGGGCAGTGTCCTCTGGTGGGGCTCCCGTCCGCGTGCCCCCCGATCGGTGTCTGGTGGGGCTCCCGTCCACGTGCCCCCCGATCGGTGTCTGGTGGGGCTCCCGTCTGCGTGCCCTCGGGTCGGTGTCCTCTGGCGTTTCCCATCTGCGTGCCCCCCGATCGGCGTCTGGTGGGGCTCCTGTCTGCCTGCCCCCACGTCGGTGTCTGGCGGGGCTCCTGTCCGCCTGCCCCTGGGTCGGTGTTCTCTGGCGGGGCTCCTGTCCGCGTGTCCTGCCAGCTGGTTCACTCAAGGCTCTGCCAGCGCCTTCTGGCCAAGAGGCCCCTGGACTCGAGGGCGTGGTTCTCGGGGCTGCGTGGGTCGGGGTTTGCGAAGTTGAAGCTGAGCGCGGCTGTGGGTGGGCGTGTGTCATACGTCGTGAGTGATGTTCCTTAGTGAGACATTCTGTTCTCTGGGGGAGCTGGAGAGACCAGGGTGGTGGTGACTGTGTCCCCCGCAGACAGAGGGGCCTGGCGCTCTGCTGGGGGTGCGGGGTCGGGGTCCCATACGGGCCGTGGAAGCGGCTGCCTCGCGTGTCTGCCTGGGCCTCAGGCAGAAGGAGGGAGTTTCTGACAGCTGTTCCCGGGCTTGTTTCTGGAGGGGAGGTGCTCAGGCTGCTTTCCCGCGTCTTAACGTTCTGCTGCCTTTGCTGTTTCTGCTCTTCAGACCTGCGGGTAGAGGTGGTCCTGGCTGCAGTCGGCTGGGTCCCTCTCGGGTTTGGGGCAGTGACGCTGCAGCCTGGGCTGAAAGAGAAACATGAGGCGCGCCCGCGAGATGCCACGGTCCAGCTTGCGTGTCTGACGCTGGCTGGAGTGCAGGGGGCCTGGGGCTCTGTTCCCTGGGGCCCTGATTTGTGGTGGGGGCGTCACCGCAGTCAGCAGCCCCTCAGGTGGCAGTGAGCTGTAGCGACCACCCCTGGTGTTTAGTTTAATTTTCGACGAAGATTCCAGCGGCTGGTCGCACAGAACTGGAAGTCCTCGGGATGGGCTGCATGATGTCCGCGGCGGGTGGGCTGAGGTCCCAGCAGGGAGCTGAGCGTCTGGCACTGTCGTTGCAGGCGTCCGACCTCCGATCATGAATGGGCCCATGCACCCCCGGCCCCTGGTGGCACTGCTGGACGGCCGGGACTGCACGGTGGAGATGCCCATCCTGAAGGACGTGGCCACGGTGGCCTTTTGTGACGCGCAGTCCACGCAGGAGATCCATGAGAAGGTACGGCGGGTAGGCGGGCGGGGAGCAGGCACCTCCCGGCCTGTCAGGAGGCGTGGGGACGTCTCCGTTGTAAACAGTTCTTCCCCAGAAAGTGGCCCCTGGGGCTCAGCTGCGGTGGGTGGTGCTGGCAGGGGATGGGGTCTCTCCCCCCATCCCCACACTGATGACAGTGGCGGTGGTCGCCGGGACGCCCTGATCTGTGCCGTGTGGTTGCACCTCTCACGAGTCGAGTCCTGGAAGCTCCAGGCTCCCCGGGACGGGAGCAAATTGATCTGGTTTCTGTCTACAGTCCCAGCCGACCAGACTTCAGAGCCGCCTCTCCCCCGAGTCAGCTGGGGAAGCTGGGAGCCCACAGGGCTGGGAGAGGCCCAGCTGCTGTGGGAGAAAAGGCGGCGCTCGGCCCGCGCCCGCCGGGCCGGACACCGGTCGGGCTGCAAGTGGCGGCTGAGAGGCTGGGTGGCGTTGGCACCTCATGGGCCAGCGAACATGGAGCCCTGCTGGATCCCGGCTCTGGGCTGGGCTGCTGGAGAAAGGCTGTGCTGGAACCAGACCTGCCCTCGTGTCCACATCTGGCCTGGACCACCCACAGCAAGGCTTGAACGTGGGTGATAGAGCCCCCGCCCTGTGCCTGGGAGGCTGGCAGGAGGAAGAGGATGGTTCTCTGTGGGGAGAGGCCGTCAGCCTGGGCCCCAGGTCATCAGCAGATCACGGGCTAGCGCGACGCCAAGCACACACAGACGAAGATAACTGGGCCGCAGGGGAGGAAAGAACTGAGTGAGGGCATCCGCTCAGACAGTAAAGCATCCGCCCGCAACGCAGGAGGCCCAGGGTCGATCCCTGGGTCAGGAAGATCCCCCGGAGAAGGGAATGGCAACCCACTTCAATATTCTTGCCTGGAGAATCCCATGGACAGAGGAGCCTGGTGCGCTACAGTTCATGGGGCTGCAGAGTCAGACACAGCTGAGCGACTAACACTTTCATTTTCACTTTTTGGTCTTCCCAGATGGCATCAGTAGTGAAGAATCCGTCTGCCAGTGCAGGAGGTGTTAAGAGACACGGGTTTGATCCCTGGGTCAGGAAGATCCCCTGGAGAAGGGAATGGCAGCCCACTCCAGTGTTCTTGTCTGGGGAACCCCGTGGACAGAGGCTGCAGTCCATAGGGTTGCAAAGAATCAGACACAACTGAGAGAATTAAAAAAAACCTGAGTGAAAGCAGAGACAGTCAGGATAGGGACCCCATGAGGCCAGTGGGGTGGTTGCTGCCACAACCACCATGTGGAGACCGAGCCTGAGCCGTCAGGAGGGGCCGAGAGCAGAAGGGGCGTGGGGAAGGTCTAGAGCTGCAACAGCCGTGCTGATGTGAGAGAGAGCAGACTTGCCGGCCACCTGGGCAGCTGTGGGTGGGAAGGTGGCCGGCAGTGGGCAGAGGCTCCGGGTGAGGGCCCGAGGCAGGAGCCAGCTTCCCGCGGGAACCTCAGGGACCCAGGGCGGAGACGGGCCAGGAGCAGAGCTGACAGGGCGGCGGACGTCAGCTAAGAGGGGGCGGTGGCCCCTGGAGCTCGGGTGGGTGGGCCCCCAAGCAGAACAGGCCCGGGCCGCCTGGCCAGCGGGCCCACAGCCAGTCTGTCTCCTCGAGAAGCAAGCCCCATGTCCACACGGACCTGTCCGAGAGCCCCCAGTGGCTGGCTTTGTGCCTCGTGGCTGGAACCAGAGGGAGCCAGGCTGCCTTCAGCCCCGGGCCCCGGGCCCCCGGTGCCCACTCGGCCAGGAGAAGGAAGAGGGAGCAGGGCACTGGCCTCGGCCAGCAGGGGCGGCTGGTCCTCAGCCTGGCCGTCTCCGTGACTGGGAGGCCGAGGTGCCGGGTTCACGTGCTGATGGGAGGGTGTTCTCTCTGTGGCAACGGTAGTCCTGCGTGGAGGCAGCAGCTCCTCTGATAGAAAGTGACCCGTGGGCAGCTTCCTGTGAGTCTTACGCTGTTTCACACTGAAAAGATATGTTTAGAAAAACCAATAGAGATAAAAAAGAGATAATACAGGTAGAAGTTTAAAAAGTCATAAGCAGCTCTTCCCTGGTGGTCCAGTGGTTAAGACCTGCCTGCCAATACGGGGGACACAGGCTCAGTCCCTGCTTCGGGAAGGTTCCACGTGCGCAGGAGCCCGCGCACCACTCCCAGAGAGCAGCCTGTTGGCTGGCACCAGAGAGAGCCCGCACACAGCTGCATAGACCCAGCACAGCCAAGAGTGAATCACCCCATCAAACCTAAAAACTGAGCAATGTTAAAACAAGTTTTGCCGATGAATTGGAAACCTAAGACAAAACGTGTCATCTAAAATTGTAAGTTACTAAAACTATTTCAACCAGTTACTATAAAACCCAAATAAGCTCCTCAGTAGGCCCCTAGGCAGGGGCAGGGCCCTCAGCTCCGCAGCGAGCTCTGCCCACCCCCAGCCCCTCCAGGCAGGCGGCAACCCCCGCCAACCGGCCCTCTACATCCTGAAACCCACGGGAGCCACGCCGAGGTCTCGCCTGTCCGAGAAGAGGCGGAAGACGTGTCCGGGGGACGGAACCTTCTGCTTCCGACGGAACAGACGTTAGGGCCACGTGACTTGCCCTCAGGCCGGAGGGACGCCTGACTTCCCCGCGGGACGCGTTGAGAGCGAGCCCCAGGAGAGCCAGAGGAGCGCTGGAAACTAAATACAGGAGCGAAAGATTTACATTTTAGCAGGAAGCTTGGAAGACGTCGTTCTGGGAAGCCCAGAGGGAAGGTGGAAGCGATGGGGAACTTGGAGAGACGCAGACTCCCTGGGGCGCCAGGCCCTGTGCAGCCGCCCTCGGGGGCTCCCGTTTCTGCCCCCCACTTTGAGCCAGGGGTGCCCGGTGCCCCAGTCTTTCCGGGGGCACTGCAGCCTGCGTGTGCAGAGCCGCTGTTCCTCTCCCTGCCGGCCTGGGTGGCACAATGGCGCCGCGTGCACCTGCCAACACAGCCGCGGGCGACGCTGGTCTGATGCCTGGGTCGGGAAGACCCCTGGAGAAAGGAGCGGCCGCCCACTCCAGTGCTCGTCTGCGAGGTCCCGTGGACAGAGGAGCCTGGCGGGCTCCAATGCAGGGGCCGCAGAGTTGAGCACAGCCCAGCAGCGACCAGATGTGCCGGCTGGAGCCTGGGCAGCCACCCAGACCTTGAGGGGAAGCTACGGGGAGCCTGGGAACAGCGGGGCGGCAAGACAGAAGTCCAGGACCCTGATGGCTATGGAGCTGATGGGGTCCCTAGCCCACCTGGCTGCAGGCACTGGGGAAACACCAGCTTGTCTTCATAGCTGGTTGGATGCTGGACGTTTTCACCACAATGTGAGAGAAACTTCAGAGCTGAATGGAGGCTCCCATGTTCCCACCATGAGCCCAGGACAAGTGTCAGGGGCCCCCGGAGGCCCTGGTTCAGGGTTCAGGCTTCAGCATTGCCAGGGTGGGGGACGAGAACCAAAGTGGCCCCAGGCGGGTGTGCTGATCCTGGGAGAAGGGTTTCAGCTGGGATTGCTCCCCCCTCCCTGGCACACAGACCCTAAAGGGGTGTCTCGCCCCTCGGCTGCTCCCTCTGAAGCTCTTAGGGGAAAGTCAGGCCCCCATGAGGTGGAGGTGGCTGTGGAAGAGAGAGGCCTCAGGTCCCGTTGAGGGCTGGGCCAGCTGGGAAAGACAGGCACGCTCAGGGGAGGGTCACAGGGCTCCAGTGGGGACCTGGTCAGCGGAGTCCCAGCACGAACGTGCCGAGGCCGCGTGAGGCAGCACTTACAGTGTAGGGAAACTCCGAGCAAGGTGTGCCGCCGGTGGCCTGCTTAGGGGACCTGCGGGACACTGGTCAGGCCCCGTGCACACACCACACCCGGGGGTGAGAGGCGCGTCCGCAGGGGCCGGCCCCCTGCCCACCCCGGCCAAAACCAAGTGCGGCCGCTCTGCAGGTCACGTGTGGAGAGCAGGGGCCGTCTGGCTGTGAGGCAGTCCAGCAGTCTCCCCACAAAACAAATCACACAGAACAGGGAAGAAAGGGGGGTGATGGAGGGATGCCGCAGCGCGCACACTGTGGGATTAGCAGCAAACAGACCCCTCAGCGGGCAGGAGCGAGACAGTCCCAGCGGAGAGTAGGCAACAGAGGGGTGTGGACAAAGCCCAGCAGCCTGCAGGAGCAGGTGGCCCGTCCCCACCCTGGGGGCTCACGGACGCCGGGGCAGCTCCCCTCATGCTATCTGGTGGTGCTCCGGCAGGCCCCCGAGAGTCTGGGCTGCAGTCTTCAGCCCACTGTCCTTCCACCTGGACTGTCATCCGGAAACCCCTGGGGCTCTCTGGGAGTCAGCCCTGAGCCTCACTGAGGGTTTGTGCACACACACGTGTGTGCGTGCATGTCTCTGTGCATGTGTCTTTTTGTGCACGCGTCTGTATGTGCATATGTGTGTCTCTGTGTGCAGCCATCCATATGTGTACACGTGTGTATGCATGTGTTTCTGTGGGCAGGTGTCTGTCCGTGTGTCTGCGTGCATCTGTGTGTGTGTGTGTGTGTGTGTGCAGGCGTCCGTATGTGTGCGTGTGTACATGTGTGCACGTGTCTCTCTGTGCGTGCGTGCATATGTGTTTCTGCATGCAGGTGTCCATATGTGTGTGCGTGCATCTGTATACACGTGTGTGTGCACGTGTCTCTCTGTGCNGTGTGTGTGTGTGCAGGCGTCCGTATGTGTGCGTGTGTACATGTGTGCACGTGTCTCTCTGTGCGTGCGTGCATATGTGTTTCTGCATGCAGGTGTCCATATGTGTGTGCGTGCATCTGTGTATACACGTGTGTATGCACGTGTTTCTGTGGGCAGGTGTCTGCGTGCATGTGTGTGTGTGTGTGTGTGTGGGCAGGTGTCCATATGTGTGCGTGTCCACATGTGTGTGTGTGAGACGCTAGGAGGGGACCCTCGAGGTGAGGAGATGCCTAGCCCCCAGCCACGCCTTGGCCCACTTCTGGGCTGGTGCCCGGTGAGCGCCTTTGGGGCCCCGCTGCTCCCAGTGCCCGGCCAGGCAGGCCTGTCACCCCCGTGGGTTTGACAACATCGAGTTGGTGACGAGCTGCTCACACAGAAGGTGGAGGTTGGTGGGAGTGGACCCTGGAAGCTCAAGGGCATACCAGGAGTGTTGTGGCCACTCTGCAACCAGGAAAAGGGTCACAAGGAACCAACAGGAGTGGGGCCCAGGGCCTGGATGGGGTGCAGTGGCCCTGCGGTGGGCTAACCCTGAGGTTGGTGCACTGTGGGGCTACCCTGGGAGGCGTCCGGGCTCCCTTCTGAGAATGCTGCACCTAGGACTGGTTCCAGGGATGCTTGGTAGAAAAATGACCAGGCGTGGAAAAAGGGATAACCCAGAACCGTATGTGGGTGAGCCATACCAGAAGTTCAGTTCAGTTCAGTCGCTCAGTCCTGTCCGACTCTTTGTGACCACATGGACTGCAGCACGCCAGGCCTCCCTGTCCATCACCAAGTCCCAGAATCTACCCAAGCCCATGTTCATTGAGTCGGTGATGCCATTCAACCATCTCATCCTCTGTCGTCCCCTTCTCCTCCCACCTTCAGTCTTTCCCAGCATCAGGGTCTTTTCAAATGAGTCAACTCTTCGCATCAGGTGGCCAAAGTATTGGAGCTTCAGCTTCAACATCAGTCCTTCCAGTGAACACCCAGGACTGATTTCCTTTAGGATTGCCTGGTTGTATCCCCTTGCAGTCCAAGGAACTCTCAAGAGTCTTCTCCAACACCACAGTTCAAAAGCATCACTTCTTCTGCACTCAGCTTTCTTTATAGTCCAACTCTCACATCCATACATGACTACTGGGAAAACCACAGCCTTGACTAGATGCACCTTTGTCGGCAAACTAATGTCTCTGCTTTTTAATATGCTGTCTAAAGTTAAAGCTAAAATCACGGTGCCCACCGGCGTGTGCCTCATGCAGCACACGTGATGTTGGGATCTCCAGGTGCTGGATGGGTGGTGCTGATGGGCGGACGTGCCCGGGGTGGTAACAGCAGGACCAGAGCCCGAAGAGGTTTGCAGGGAGCCACCCGTCACCTCAGGGAGACCAGTGGACACATGGGGAGCTGCACGGTCTCCCAACTTTAGAACCTTCCAGACAGCCCCGGACCATGCCTGCTGCCTCGCAGCCCAGGACGCTCAGGGCCCCTTCCCACCCCGCCTGCCTCAGCCCGCCCCCCGACACACACCCCTGTCTCAGCTGTGGGCCACACGCATCCCGCTGTCCAGGCCAGACCAGGCTTCACGCGGGGCCTCCCCTCCTGACGCTGTCAGCCATGTGTCTGCCTCTCTGGTTCCAGCATCCACCCGCCCACAGTGGGCACTGAGCTCTGTCCACACACAGCCCACCCCCAGCCCTGGGGGCCTCCTCACAGGCTGGCCACACGGCACAGGGCGGCCGGAGGGGCCTTCCCGGGGACCTGCCGGCTGAGCCCGCCCCCTCGCCATCCATCCCGCCCTGGCCGCATGCCCTACCCCATGCCCCTGCCCACCCCACGTGCTCCCACAACCCCTCTGCCTCTGATGCCCGCGCACTGCCCCATGCCGTGCTCACCAGGCCTGCATCTGACCCCCTCCTAGGAGGCTGGGGCAGCTGTCAGGACTCGGCATGGTCCCATCGGCCCATTCGTGTCCCGGGGCTGGGATCCCTGGGTCCTCTGAGCAGGGAGGGCCTGAGCCAGTCTGGCGGCACCTGTCTGCTCCCTGCAGGACCAGGCCCTGGGCCCTCTGCCCTGCTGATGGCTGTCTCTGCCTTGGACCTTTCTCCCCCTGGGGGGTGTCTTCTGGGCCCCATCGGCCAGTAGAACAGGAAGGAAGGCCATGCCAACCTCAAGGAAATTGCATTCTGGGGGGCCCCGTGATCGTAGGAGAGATGAGCCCAGGGCTGTTTCCTGTCTGAGAGGCTGCTGGCTCCTGCCTGGGGTCCCCCCCTCAGCACCTGCACCCCGCACTAGCTGCATCTGCCATGGGCCAGCTGCTGCCTCAGCCCTGTGCGGTTTCGGGAGTCCAGCAGCCTCCACCCCATGGGGGAGCCCGGGTCAGCGAGGACACTCGGTCCAGAGAGGGGCGGGAGGCTGACAGTCCCACGGGTTTCCTGTGGCCTCTGAGACGTCGTGGATTGTACTGGCCCATCAGGGAGGGGTAGACCAGGTCCCCAGCTGCGGCAGGTCCTGGAGTCCCTCATGCCTTGGCTCCAGGTAGCCCAGCTCCAGGGCCCCGCCCTTGGGTCCCTGGCTGTTCTGAGCACATCTGGAGCAGACCCTCATCCCGGGCTATGGGCTGTGGCCCCAACCCCAGCCAGGCATGTCTCACTGGTGGCCTGGTGCTAGCAGCAGCGGCAGGGTGGGTGGGGCCATGCACGCACGCAGGTAAGGGCTTTGCACGGGCTGCAGCTGTGGGCAGACCCCACGGGTGGGGAGATCTGTGCGCCAGGCTCTTAGGAGACCCTGGCAGCTACCTGCTTACATGGGTTTCACTTGGGGCGGCCCTGCTGAGATGCACACGCCCTCCCTGCAAGCATCCTCAGCCCCGTTGGATGGGGCGACGCTCCACAGGGCACAGAGACTGAGCTTTCAGGCCCCTTGCTGGGTCTGCGCTGGCCAGGCCAGCCTCTTGGCCGAGCGCACATGAAACCTGTGCCCACCCTCGACGCCCCCGACCCTTCCTGGGGGAGCCGCCTGTATGGTGACAGCGAGGGGTGGCCACGTCGGCCCCTCCCAGCGTGAAGGGTGCTGTGCTCACTGCTGCGTGTTCACTGCCTGGGGACTGGGGGCCACTGCCCAGGGTGGGGGCCCCGTGGTGGCTCTCTTCGGGGAGCAGGTCGTGTGTGGCAGCATGGGTCCCCTTTCCATTGGGGGCGCTGGGGGTCTCGGGTCCTCCCAGTGCCATCGTTTTCTATCTGTTGCAGCGTCTGGTGCCCAGGGAGAGGCAGCCCCCTCCCCACCTCCCTGTCAGTCAGGAGAGCCCTGTCCCCTCTGTAGACCCGGCAGGTGTCCTTGGCGTGTCTGCTGGGTCACCGGCACCCTCGGGTCACGGCAGGGGCTCACGCGGGGACCGGGCCGCCTCCCACCCGGACAGCCTGCTGTGCCCACGGGGCGCAGGCTGCTCAGGGCAGCGCCAGTCACCACGCTTCCCTTGCTGCAGGTCCTGAATGAGGCCGTGGGTGCGCTGATGTACCACACCATCACGCTGACCAGGGAGGACCTGGAGAAGTTCAAGGCCCTGCGGATAATTGTGCGCATTGGCAGCGGCTTTGACAACATCGACATCAAGTCGGCTGGGGACCTAGGTAGGCCGCTGGGGACCTAGGTAGGCCCTGGGGACCCTCCCCCACAGCCCTGCCTGCTGCCCCAGGCACGGCCTCGCTGCTTTCGGTCCCGTCCGTTGATTCTCAGCACCTGCCTGCGCGGAGGGGGCCTGGGGGCTGGCATCCACGCGGCTGTCCACGTGTGGGCCCCGTACCAGCTCCCCTCAGGCAGATGCGGGCTGGCGGCACTGCCCCTCAGGAGGCTCGGGCCTCGGGCAGCGCGCCCGCCCTCCTGCGGTACCCCCGGGGACCCGGGCAGGGGCCTCCGTCCAGGGGCAGCCGACACGTTTGTGTCAGGGTTCTCACGTCCTTGTTCATGACTGGCCGGGAAAGGAAGTGTGTGCACGCTGGTGTGCATATGGGGGGTGCCTGTGCTCGTGTGCACACACCCTTGAGCACACGTGTGTCTCACACTTGTGAAAACAGACTTACTTGGGCTCTGTTGGGGAGTTTCCTGCCTGCTGTGATGCTCAGGTCTCTCCTTTTCCTTTGTGTTGGTCACCACCTTGCGGGAGGTTAGGACTCAGTCAGCCACGTCACCTGGTCACTGACAGCTCAGACCTGCAGAGTGAGAACCGCTTGCATGGTCAGCGGCCTTGCCTCTCAGGGTTCACCCTGCAGGTGCCCACGGAGCTCTGTCACCCCAGTGTCCACCCCACGCAGTATCTCCTGTCCCCACACGGCATCCACCCCGTCTCCTGTCCCCACGCTGCGTCCACCCCGCCATCTCCTGTCCCCACGCAGCATCCATGCACTGTATCTGGCAGTGTCCACCCCACTGTCGCCCGGCAGTCCAGGTGCTTTCTGAGCCGGCGTGTCCCTGGGCCTCATTCTTGCTGACGGAGCTGGGCCTCTGTGCCTCTCGATTTCACCAGCCGGGGCTCTGTCCTTCATCCAAGGACGTCTGGGCTGTGCTGGGTGGTCCTCCCCTCCAAAGCCCTGCGGGGCCTCCTGTCTGTTGGGTGGCCGGCCGCCTTGCTTCCGAGTCTGATGGGGACTCCAGCTCTTCTTGCTCAGTCTCCCACGTACCCCCCACCCCGTCCTCCCTTGTGCTGAAGGGATGGGGAGGCCGCTGCTCAGGGCGGAGTGGCCTGGCTGAGACCCGTTCCACGAAGGTCCAGTGGCCTGTGGTCCAGGCGGGCAAACCCCCCCCCCCCCCCGGCCTCTGTCATCCCCACCTTGTCTGCCTGTTGGACCCACGGGCAGCCTTCCCCCAGGGCAGGGGCAGGTACCTGCCTTGATCTGGTCTCCAGGCCAGGACATGTCCCTGGGGCTGCCTAGGACCATCCCAGTGATGGCCCTGTGTGTCTTGCATCTCCAGGCATCGCCGTCTGCAACGTGCCGGCCGCGTCCGTGGAGGAGACTGCCGACTCCACCATGTGCCACATCCTCAACCTGTACCGTAGGACCACGTGGCTGCACCAGGCGCTGCGGGAGGGCACGCGCGTCCAGAGCGTCGAGCAGATCCGGGAGGTGGCCTCCGGAGCCGCCAGGATCCGCGGGGAGACCCTGGGCGTCATCGGACTAGGTGCGCTGGCCTCCACCCCGCAGGGGCCTGTGGACCGAGAGGCTGGCTGGGCTGTTGGCGGGTACTCCACCTGGGGCGTCTGTCCAGGCAGGAAGCAGCACTGGGTAACCGGGTCTCTTAGCTGCCCCAGGAACAGCAGGTGGGGCCACACGCCCACCCGGGTGTTAAGTGCCCTTAGGGTCACATGTGCCCTGTGGCCGGGGTCACAGTGCTCTATGGGCGGGGGCACACATGACCTGTGGGCGGGGTCATGTACCCTGTGGGCGGGGTCACACGTGCCCTGTGGCCAGGGTCACAGTGCTCTGTGGGCGGGGTCATGTACCCTGTGGGCGGGGTCACAGTGCTCTGTGCTGCGTGCCCTGTGGGCGGGGTCGTGCAAAAGCTCAGGGCTGTCAGGTGGGGTCGAGGCGTCTGCCCTGAGTCCTGCCCGGGGTGGAGGGAGGCTGCTCGTTGTCTCCCTCGCTGGCTCTCGTGCCCTGCAGGCTGGCGCCCTGGGCTCAGGTAGCAAACCAGGGAGCAGAGAGGTGCTGGGGTCAGAGGTGCTGGGGTGGGGCAGGCCTCTGGGGTTGGGGAAGCGGGGGAGGGCGAGTGTGGACAGAGTGGCCTGCCCTGCCTGGGGGCATAGCTCCTGTGCCCCCATCTGTGATCCCCAGGGTTCTCCATGGCAGAGGCCCCGCCTGTGCAGCCGTGGGGAGCTGCAGGGCAGAGACGCACCTGCGTTAGCTCAGGTCAGGTCCATGAAGTCTGAGGACGTGGGGATGTCCCACTCCTGATGTGACTTGCTGTCCTGCTGGATTGCTCACACAGACACCAGGGCTGGTCAGAGACCCATAGCTACGCGAGCATCCTGCACCCAGCAACGGGGCCCCTGTGCCTGGAACCAGCCAGGGTGGGACCAGTGGGTCCGCTCGGCGTGATTGATGGAGGAGGAGGAAGGGGTGCCGGGAGGGTGGGGCAGATGGGTATCCCTGGCCAGTGGGTTTGGGGCCACATCCCGTCTAGGCACTGTTGGTGCAGACACCACGGAGTGGTCAGGCCCTGGAGGCCTCATCCTCACAGGCTCCCGGTCGTCCTTGGAAGCCGTCAGAGCTGCCCTGGGGGCCGCGGCCCTGGCTGTCTGCTCCTGCCCTCCCTGCGCCCCTCTCGGGACCCCCAGAGCCTGTGTTCCGGTTCCCTCGGCCTGAAAGCAGAGCGGTGGCCCCGGGGGCGTGCGCTGAAGCAGGGGTCTCCGGTGCCTGTGTCACTTGCAGAGGCCAGGGTCGCAGCCGTGGTGGCCCTGCCCGAGACGCTGCGTGCGGCTCCCAGGGACCCAGGGTCGCAGCCGTGGTGGCCCCGCCCGAGATGCTGCGTGCGGCTCCCAGGGACCCAGGGTCGCAGCCGTGGTGGCCCCGCCCGCTAGGCTGCGGCGGCCCCCAGGGACCCAGGGTCGCAGCCGTGGTGGCCCCGCCTGAGGCGCTGCGGCGGCTCCCAGGGACCCAGGAGCTGTGCACTGGCAGCTGCCAGATCCAGAACTCCACTTTCCACGTTTGTTCATAAAAATGGAAGTCCTCTTTGGGCTTCCCTGGGTTTGAGGAGCCAGGTGCCGCAGTGAAGTGGCCGAGCGGGGGCTTCTGGCCGCGTCGCCCACCCGCAGAGTGAGAGGCTGCTCCAGCCCCCGTGGTGCTGCCTGTGGCAGGTCCGCTGGCCCGCTGGGCTCCCATGCTCCCCAGACCCCGGCCCTTCTCCCTGAAGCCTTGTTCCCCACGCGCCCACTGCCTGGCCTCTGAGCAGGAGCCCGGGTGACGCCCTCTCCCCCCAGGGCGCGTGGGGCAGGCGGTGGCGCTGCGGGCTAAGGCCTTCGGCTTCAACGTGCTCTTCTACGACCCCTACCTGGCGGACGGCACGGAGCGGGCGCTGGGGCTGCAGCGGGTCAGCACGCTGCAGGACCTGCTCTTCCACAGCGACTGTGTGACCCTGCACTGCGGCCTCAACGAGCACAACCACCACCTCATCAACGACTTCACAGTCAAGCAGGTCTGCGCCGCGGCCCCGCGGGGGGTGGGACAGGGCGGCCTAACCCTGCGTGGCCCCGCCCGGGTCGGGCCTTTCAAGTGGCAGTGTATACACAGGCCTCTGTGTTGTGAGCATGTGCAGTGCACACACCTGGGTGTGGGCAAGTTTGAATGACAGTGGCCCTCCACGTGTGTGCACATAGTTGTATAGAGGTGTGTGTATACATGTTTCTAAGCGTGTGCAGTCGCGCTTTGCATTTGTGTCTGTCCACACGTGTATACACACACACACACACATGGTTGGGCTTCCCTGTGGCTCAGCTGGTAAAGAATCTACCTGCAGTGCGGGTGACCTGCTTCCTGGGTTGGAAAGATCCCCTGGAGAAGGGAAAGGCTACCTACTCCAGTATTCTGGTCTGGAGAATTCTATGGACTCTATAGTCCACGGGGTCACAAAGAGTCAGACACAACTGAGCGACTTTCACACATGTGTGCAGGTGCATGCACATGTGGTTACATATATTTCCGTGTGTGCATGGGAATGCATGCACATTCTTGTGTGCACACGTGGAGCCCTGACTGTTGTCTGCCCCAGGCCCCCAGCCCTGTGGAGGGTGAGGCCGGACACCATTCCCACGTGCTGGGCTGGCCTCTGGGGGTCAGGGAGTTGGTCAGGCCAAGCAATCCGTGAGAACCAAGTGAGGCCTGGACAGACAGGAGCCTGCCAGGGAAGAGCCCTGTGCCCACGGACGGCCTCCTGAGCCCCTCGAAGTGGGGGGGGGGGGCTGCCTTGGGGTGAAATCGGGGTCATAAGGAATGCCTCATCTGGAGCAGGGGGAGCCTCCTTCTCAGAACTAGCGAGGGGGTGCCTTCAGGTCCACCGTCTGTCCTTCCCAGATGAGACAAGGGGCCTTCCTGGTGAACACAGCCCGGGGCGGCCTGGTGGACGAGAAGGCACTGGCCCAGGCCCTGAAGGAGGGGCGGATCCGCGGCGCGGCCCTGGACGTGCATGAGTCGGAGCCCTTCAGGTGCCTCCCGCCGGCTCCTGGGGCCCCTGGCATGGTGCCCGCCCTGCTCATGTCCGGCGCTAGCCTGCGTCTGGCCTGGTGGGGGTGGGGCGATGCCCACACATGGTTTCCCAGCCCTGCCTTTGCGCAGCCTGAGGTTGGCTTAGGGTAGACCTTCCTCCAGGGCCAAGCCGGGTCTCAGTGGGATGGGAGCTCAGCCTTGCGGGCCAGGACAGCCCGGGGTCCTGCACCTGGGGGAGGGGGAGGGCTGAGACCAGGGCCCCCTGCCAAGTGTCCGAGGCCGCAGGCCCCCAGGTGGCTGTGTGTAGACGCCCCGGCCGAGAGGCGGTCGGGCATCAGGGCCCGGGGGTCCTCACCCCTGGAGCCTGCAGGGGTGTTCAGGGGGCCCAGGTCTGAGAGCTCAGTCACCTGCAGGGGGCTGGGCGTGTCCCCAGTTGAGACCCTCCCCACTGCGGTCAGGGAGGGGCTGGGCAGATCTGACAGATTGAGGGGGGGTGGGCTCGGCCAAGATTAGGCTCTGACCTTTAGCCTCTGACCTCTGTGCAGCTTTAGCCAGGGCCCCTTGAAGGACGCGCCCAACCTGATCTGCACCCCGCATGCGGCCTGGTACAGCGAGCAGGCCTCCATCGAGATGCGTGAGGAGGCGGCCAGGGAGATCCGGAGAGCCATCACAGGTGGGCGGGTCGGGGCCGCGTCCGGCAGGGTGTGGGGCATGGGAGTCGGGGTGGCCCCAAGCTCTTGCAGGGGTCACGTCTGTCTGTGGGCGGGACCGTGGGGGCGGGGCACGGGGGTGGGGTGCAGAAGGAGATGAGAGCCACCAGGACCTGACATTCCCGCGCCGCAGACCCTGAATGCAGGGGCTCTTGGCGTCGCATCTGTGGTGCTCCTTCGCGGTCCTAGGGGTTCGTGTGTCTTTCTGCCCACCTTTGACAAGGTCTGCTGTGCGTGTGAGCGTCCTGGGCGGGCCCGTCAGCTCTGAAACGTCCGGTCTGAGCAGGCACCAGTGAGCTGAGGTCACCCGCCCGAGGCTGGGGGTCCATGAGCTTCGAGGGGGACCCTTTCCTGACAGGCGGGGCCCACTCTGCCTGAGGGCCATGCGCCTGTGGGGGCGGCCCTGTCCCCGTCAGAGCCCCCCTGGGTCCTGGCGGCTGCGGGACGCAGGCCCCATCCTTTGCTCCCTGCGTTTCCCAGGCCGGATCCCCGACAGCCTGAAGAACTGCGTCAACAAGGACCACCTTGCAGCCGCCACCCACTGGGCCAGTGTGGACCCCGCCGTGGTGCACCCCGAGCTCAACGGGGCAGCCTACAGGCAAGCGGGGCTCTGGGCCCCCTGGCCGTGGGCGGCTGGGGCACACGCGCCGGAGCGGCAGGCAGCCTTTGGGGTGGTGGACGGGGCGCCGTCCTGGGTCTCGGCTGGAGGGAGCGGGGCGGGGCTGGACGGGCGCCCCG